TCATGTTAACAAACAGGTCATAATCCAACAGTTTGGCAGATTGGGCGGCTTACTAAAAATTGGATTAGTACCACACCTAGCTCATAATATGAAAGTTGTTGATCTCATTCCTCTCTTTCGTTCATCAAAAGTTGAAATTGGTGAGAAGAGAGATATCACCTTTTGCAGCTCAATAACTTACTGGTTGGTTACATCTCGTGGCAGAATAGTGATCAGGATTTCCCAGCACAGGATTTAGTTGCAAAGGATCTGAATGGTTTAGAATGGAAGTTCCGCCATGTTTATCGAGGTATTTTCAAAAATCCTACTATGTTATCATCAATCATCATGCATTATTCATCAACTTGGCTTGCACATTCTTCTAGTTTGCTATATATCTTCAGACAGAACTTCTAGTATTTGGTTTTATTTGGCTTTCTTATCATTCACATTAGTCTATGTTCTTTACATTTTATTAAATGTAGGTCAGCCAAGGCGTCACCTCATAAGTAACGTGTTTGACTCAAAAATTGTTTAACACTTTTTAAGCAAATCAATCAAATAGATGAAGGGGTAAATCCTAGTTAAAGATAATTAACTCTAGATCCAAGACAAATAATATGAGTAGAAAAACATAGCCGAATATAAATATTGGGCGTGATTATAGCTAGATTTAATAACATAAAGAAAGATGCATTGAATAACATTAAATGGCAATAAAATGTAGATAAAGGAAAAGATTCACCCGACCTTGAGTTAGTCGGATCTTCTTTCATTTGATAAAGATGAATGATAGACAAAATACAAGAACCATTGGACCCTTTTTGGATCTGATGAAGGTTTTGGATCACAGATTCTCTTCTCTCTTTTGAGAGATGTGTTTACATATTTTCTAGAAAGAGGGAGAGGGAGATCGAGAGAGAGCCCCCTTTTTGGGAAGCCCTCCCCTCCTATTTATAAGGGGGATATCCATAGAAAATCCTAAAAAAGGGTACAATTTAGAGGGAATATTCGGTAGAAAATGCCTTTTGAGTATTCCAAAGCAAACTAGCAGTTTCATGACTGTCCGTCCTTGGCCTGTCCGACCACGACCTTATTGATGACGGCCCGACCTTGGTCTGTCCGACCTTGGCTTTATGTCTTCGCGTGCCGAATTTCTCTGGTCTAATTTTGACCCATACAGTTAGTCCCTCCGTTTATCGAGGTCGTCTCTCGGTCGAGCTCGGTGAACGGACCTCATTAATCGTAGTTCGAGAAATTCGGATGGGGAGGTCGACTACTATGGGTTGCAGCTGAGGATGCAGATGCCGAGGGAGAATATCTTGGATATGGTGGTGAAGAGAGTGGCGACGGTGACGCCGAGTGAAAAGATAGTTGTCTTTTTTGACCATTGATCCGGGTCGTATGTAATCTGCGACTATTTGCGCAGTGGCTTTGTATAAAGAAGAACTTTTCGTTGTTATTTGCCTTGTACTTTTTCATGTTTTCGCTTTTCGCGACTTTGGTGCGAGGTAGATTCCCGCATGGCGAGTCCCGGTATTTCCTTCCCTTTATATTTTCTGACGGCACTTGGCCTTAGGGACATTTCGAATTCTCTTCGGCGAAGGCCCATGGCCTTAGAGGGTATTATTTCGATTTTGTCAGAATATTGACCCGTCGTTGTTCGATCGGGGTCGAACTCTTCTTCTTTGGCGAAAGGCCTTGACCGGACAGTCGATTCGGACGAGGCCGAAAGTTGATTCGGACTAGGTCGAACATTGTTTCAGACGAGGCCGAATGTTGTTTCGGACGAGGCCGAAGGTTGATTCGGACGAGGCCGAATGTGATTTCGGACGAGGCCGAATGTTGATTCGGACGGGGCCGAATGTTGATTCGGACGAGGCCGAAGGTTGATTTAGTCGAGGCCGAATGTTATTTCGGTCGAGGCCGAATTTTTCTTTTAGGCGAAGGCCCTTGGCCTTTGGGGTCGACCTCCTCTCTTTGGCGATGGCCCTTGGCCATAAGGGTCGACCCCCTCTTTTATTGATGACGAAGGCACTTGGCCTGAGTCCCAGTTCGAGCGAGGTCGAACTGCACTATTTCGATGGCGAACGCACTTAGCCTTGTTCCCAGTCCGAGCGAGGTCGAACTTACTTTGATGGCGAAGGCACTTAGCCTGAGTCCCAGTTCGAGCGAGGTCAAACTGCACTATTTTGATGGCGAAGGCACTTAGCCTTGTTCCCAGTTCGAGCGAGGTCGACTTACTTTGATGGCGAAGGCACTTAGCCCGAGTCCCAGTTCGAGCGAGGTCGAACTGCACTATTTTGATGGCGAAGGCACTTGGCCTGAGTCCCAGTTCGAGCGAGGTCGAACTGCACTATTTTGATGGCGAAGGCACTTGGCCTGAGTCCCGTATTAGGGGTGAGGGAAATGCTTCACACTTCTGTCCTGGGGGAGAAGGGGGGGGGGGTTTCTTCTTCTTCTTTAGGCCTTTTCGAGTAACTGGGCAGGGGATCTTAGTTTCCTTTGATGTGTTCGAGTATTCTGTGCTCGATGCTCTTTCTTTGGCTTTGATCCAGGGAGAAACTATGTGATTTCGCTAGGAAATCCCCACAGACGGCGCCAAATTGTTTGGCTCAAAAGATACTAATTACTTTGTAAGCGAAAACAATCAAAATGAATTANGGGTGTTATTTCGAGCTGGTCGAAATGTTAACCCGTCGTGGTTCGTGCGAGGTCGAACTCTTCTTTTTTGGCGACGGCCCTTGGCCGTAGGGGTGTTATTTCGAGCTGGTCGAAATGTTAGCCCGTCGTGGTTCGAGCGAGGTCGGACTCTTCTTTTTTGGCGACGGCCCTTGGCTGTAGGGGTATTATTTCGAGCTGATCGAAATGTTAACTCGTCGTGGTTTGAGCGAGGTCGAACTCTTCTTTTTTGGCGATGGCCCTTGGCCATAGGGGTGTTATTTCGAGCTGGTCGAAGTGTTAACCCGTCGTGGTTCGAGCGAGGTCGAACTCTTCTTTTTTGGCGATGGCCCTTGGCCGTAGGGGTGTTATTTCGAGCTGGTCGAAATGTTAACCCGTCGTGGTTCGAACGAGGTCGAACTGTCAAACTTTGAAGGCGAAGGCACTTCCCAATCCGAGCGAGGTCGAACTGTTAATCTTTGATGGCGAAGGCACATAGCCTGAGTCCCAGTTCGAACAAGGTCGAACTGTCAAACTTTGATGGTGAAGGCACTTAGCCTGAGTCCCAGTTCGAGCGAGGTCGAACTGTCAAACTTTGATGGCGAAGGCACTTAGCCTGAGTCCCAGTTCGAGCGAGGTCGAACTGTTAAACATTGATGGCGAAGGCACTTAGCCTTAGTCCAGTTCGAGCGAGGTCGAACTGTTAAACTTTAATGGCGAAGGCACTTAGCCTTAAACTTAGTTCGAGCGAGGTAAAACCTGTCGATCTTTGATGGCGAAGGCCTTAGCCTTAAAGGGTTCCCTGGGGGAGTCCCAATTTGCTTAATTTTGCTTGCATTGGAGAATATGATGTATTTCCTGTTCGTGTATCTGGGAGAATGCTACTGCTTCTATTGCATTTAGAAAAATAGTCAGTTAAACTAAATGAAATCGTTCGTTACCTTGATTTGATCAGTCGGCGAGTGGAGAGGAGTGGCCACATTCACTACTCTAGCTATGTTTTTAGTGGCCGCTACCAGATTGTGCTCGGGGTATCTGGTCGAGTTGACACTCGTCAAACTCGAGCAGTAGCTCATCAATTCTTGCCTGATATTTTGTAGCCTTTGTTCTTATTTGGAAAGTCCCTGTGACTTGGTTGACGACGGATTGTGAGTCGTATCAGAGGATGATTCGCCATGCTCCATACTTGATAGCTAGTTTCGGTCTTCTCAACCGTGGTAATTTGGATTAGTGAGACTGTCTATGCCACATTCTTTGAAACGCGGCCCTTTCTTAAATCGATCTGATCCGATCTTGCATGAATATAAAATGTCATAGATATGCTAGTATGAAATAAGCACGTAGCCAAGGATGGAAAGTTGTTCAGTAGTTGGATGATTGTTCGGCATTATCTTAAGAGCAGCAAGAATAATGATAGGAGCAGTAGTATAGATTTGGCATTTCTTTTTTAATGCAAAAGTTTCATATTGAATGATATTTGCCTCTTTTGGTAAAAGTATGTGTAACGCCTTTTTTCTATCACAGAGGCAAGGACATCGGCTTCAACTATTTCACCTTGACCGTAAAGTCCATAGATAGAGTGGTCATTCGGTGACGTGATGACATCAATCGATCCGCGTGTGATAGAGTGAATTGAAATTTCAGGGCGTGTTTATGCGCACTTAGGTTTTGTTGAGAGCATTTCGGCACTGTCCCCGTATTTATAAGCAGCGTGAGCTGCTGCCGACCACAAAGTCATAAGGCGGCACAACATATAGCGTGGAAGAGACATGGAACTACTTCCATCCCCTATCACAAATTTTTTACATAAAGCATGATATTTAAACATGGCCCCTACCATATTACTATTATTTTCTATTTGGATTTTTTTTGTGTGTTTTGCAAATATAAGCGTGGATGTTTGATCAACAGTGATTCAGGCCTACTTGTGCGCAGGCGCAGATGGGCAACTTTGTCAGCCATACAGAAAAATATCCACTAGTGTTTTTTGCTTAGATTTCTTAGTTCTCTTTTTGTGCAGCAATCCCGAACAGTGACGCTACTGTACAAACTTGCTAGAATTGAATTTTAGATCTAGAGAAAACTACAATTTTAACTAGGAAATCCCCACAGACGGCGCCAAATTGTTTGACTCAAAAGTTGTTTAACACTTTTTAAGCAAATCAATCAAATAGATGAAGGGGTAAATCCTAGTTAAAGATAATTAACTCTAGATCCGAGACGAATAATATGAGTAGAAAAACATAGCCGAGTATAAATATTGGGCGTGATTATAGCCAGATTTAATAACATAAAGAAAGATGCATTGAATAACATTAAATGGCAATAAAATGTAGATAAAGGAAAAGATTCACCCGATCTTGAGTTAGTCGGATCTTCTTTCATTTGATAAAGATGAATGATAGACAAAATACAAGAACCATTGGACCCTTTTTGGATGTGATGAAGGTTTTGAATCACAGATCCTCTTCTCTCTTTTGAGAGATGTGTTTACATATTTTCTAGAAAGAGGGAGAGGGAGATCGAGAGAGAGCCCCCTTTTTGGGAAGCCCTCCCCTCCTATTTATAAGGGGGATATCCATAGAAAATCCTAAAAAAGGGTACAATTTAGAGGGAATATTCGGTAGAATATGCCTTTTGAGTATTCCAAAGCAAACTAGCAGTTTCATGACTGTCCGTCCTCGGCCTGTCCGACCACGACCTAATTGATGACGGCCCGACCTTGGTCTGTCTGACCTTGGCTTTATGTCTTCGCGTGCCGAATTTCTTTGGTCTAATTTTGACCCATACATAACGATTGGAGTAGGTTTGTAAGTGCGAAGAAGCTTGTTGCAGGGGATACCCTTATATTTGTCAGGTTACTCTGTTCTCCCTCCAATGTTCTTGGTGAGAAACATATACTACAAGTTGTTTGCCTAACAGCTAAGCTTATTTTCATAGAGGAAAAAATTATGAATTATATGTTGCTGTTCGCCGTGTAAAAAAACAACAAACCAGCTCATCAACATCTATCTTATCAAGCCACTACATGCAACACGGCATTTTGTCTAATGCCTACCATGCTGTTTCCTCTGGGACAATGTTCACCATTTACTACCGCCCTTGGTAAGCTTGTGTTTCCTTTTCGGATGGCTTTTGAGAATGTGGTAATTTTATCTGGTAAATGATCTTTGAGCAAATAATTTTGTTTCTTTAATACTTGATGGTTCCTCTGTCTACACAATGGATCAGGACTTGTCCTGCTGCATTCATAATTGCTTACAATCAATATTTGAAGGCCCCTGTAATCGATTATGAGGTTGGGACGACTTTCAACATGCCATTTGAAAGCCGCGAACTAGACTGCGGCAGAACAGTATGCCCAATGTAAGTGGTCTGACGTTCAGCAACATCACTTGCAATACTCTCCAAAGTTATTGTTTTTCATTCACAGGACATCTTGAACAAATCTGATTTGTGGAAATACAATTTCATAACCAGATTTTCAGGTACCATTGTTGATGTTAAAGATGTTGACCCCATTAGATGGCCTGGTTCAGATTGGAGGTGTCTCAAAGTAAGCAGGTCCTTCACTGTGATTCACTAGCACTTCTTTCTTTCAAACTTGTACTCCGGCTATGATACCATCCATTTTGTGAACTTGCTCTAAGGTGAAATGGAATCATGCAAAACTAATGCCAGTTCGTCCAGAAAGGGTATCTCCTTGGAGCATTGTAGCCATAGGAATAACCAAAAGAAAAAGGAGGTCTTTTTCTTCCTATCCCAGCAAAGCACAGCCTCTTGATCCAGCAAATCTGTTCGTTGTCAAGGACTGTAAGTAAATAAGACATTTCCTCAAACATATTCTAATTTGTATGAAGTCGTATTTTGATATTAACTGGAAGATTCTGCCAATAGACATGATCATGAAGTGCAAATGTATTGCATTGGCAATAACATTTTCTAGGCTCATGAGGGACAAGTGGTGGAGAGTCGGGAAGAGGTAGAATCAATTGGGAGATGAATAAGATTTTTTAAACTAGAGAATTTGTCGGCGCAAGGAATGACGTCATAGCTCCTGCAAAAGTAATAACAATCAAAGCCGTAGGTCGCGCGGTTATAACAAAAATTTAAAATATGGTAAAATAATTATTGCCAAATTTTATGAAAATTTAATCTTTACTAATCAATTAAGTGCATTGTTACATGCTTATTAGTGTTGATATTATTGGAGCTTAATGCTTATCCCTCACTTTGCTTTATATTCTTCGTGCATATTCATACACCGCTGAACTCTAAGTCTCTGGCCACTTGTTGCTCCTAATGTGATCACCAATTGAATTAGTTTGTCAGTATAGATAAAGTAAGTTTGTATAATATCTTCAAGAAAATAGAGTAGTTTCCACACATTCACTACAAACATTGAACCCAATTCAACAATTAAATTGTGAAAGCCATTTATTATACACCATCCCCGTCGACCTGTACTCGATACCCACTATTAGCCACTGAATTTTTCAAATGGCACATTCCATATTTAATATAGAGAAAAAATAAATTAAGATGATTAGTAGTTTATGTAAACTACTTTCGTGAAAACAATTGACGTAGAATCAACATTCATAAATCATCAAATCCCTCCCAATTCTAAATTTCAATTACAATCCAGGGAAAGCAATACTAACTACAAAAATGTCCAGTAAAAAGAGTGAGAAATACCTTATACTGATTATTTTAAATTTTCTGTGACATCTTCTCAATTACTTCCTTTATCTTGTCGCATTTCAAAAATATTTTTTAATTAACTTCAATCTAATAATCAATCCAAGTAAGAAAAAAGTGGTATATCAACCGGGTTAATTAACACGATATCTAAGTACCTGACAATAACACAAGATATCCCACCAACTAAACTTATTCGAACAGAGAAAGCATTACTTAAAAATAACAACTCTCGTTGTAAACCAATGGAGTGCAATAAATTTTTTAATAGCAGTGTAAGTATATGATGCAAAAAAAAAGAGCATCACAGATCACATGATCCGCTACCTATGGCACGGAGAGGGAGTGAAAAAATGAAAAAGAAGAAGACAACTCTATAGTAGTACAAACATAGAAAACATCAAGGAATTTAAGTTTAGCTTATGTTGTACCTTTTAGATTTGGATGCCATGATATGATTCCCATGCCTTCAGATAGCAATCTTGGAGAATTAGGAAAAGATATGCTATAAGATATATTGGAATGATAATTATGAACTCTTGTAAGCAAATGAGTAAATTGTTCTTCATTCGAAGTTTACCTTGAAATGAGTATTAGTAATAGCCATGGCTGCTGCACTTGAACGTAACAGCCGGGAGCTAATTTTTTTCTATTATCTGAACGTGTGTAGTGATTGGTCTTTAGTGCTAGTCCATTAGTGAGGAAGACAAAAACCACTCTCAATTGAGCTTTAATACAAATAATTGCCACTTTCTATAGAAATTCAAGACAAATAAATACTATTCTCATCTGTTATAACAGTATGAGAATATGTAAAGTCCATTGGAAAGGATAAAAAGATTTTTGGAAAAAAAAAAGCAAAAAAATGAGAAAAAAGATATATATATATATATA